GGGTCTAGTGTTTAGGGTTCAGGGTTTAGGGTTTCGGTTCAGGGTAATGCTGTCGGATATTCAAAAGCCTCAACCTTTTCACCCTGCCCCTCAAACCGCACACTTCCTTATCCCACTAAACCTTTGTGGGGCATACACCTTTGCGATGTACCGTATTGCCCCGTGCGAAGCCTCCGTGAGAAAACTGTTAACCCTACCCTAAAACTTCAATTGCTGCGCCTTGGCGCGAGGTCGATATTGCAGAAGCGATTCTCGACCATGTCGGCCAGAAAGCCTACCTATTTCGGTCCGGTGCTTCTGGATTGAGGACTTGAGGCTTGTTTGTTTAAGGATTTTCAAGGTAAGCGGGTTATCTAGATCCTGCGGCCTCTTGACAACTCTCTTGTTCAGGGCTTCTGGAATCCGTGTGTTGAGGGTTTCGGGATTTGGGCTTCAGGGTCCTTTGGGCTTTTGGAACCCTAAACCCCAAACCCCAAACCCTAAACCGAAGTTCAGGTAATTCGGTCTTCTGGGCCTAGTCGCAGGCGTATGTTTAGAAGGCTCTTCGTCTCTAGAAGGCTTGAGGTGCTAAACCCTAAACTTTGGGTTTTAGGGTTTAGGGCAGTTTAGGGCTCAGGGCTTTAGGGTTTAGGGTTTAGGGTTAGGACGTTCGGTTTAGGGTTTAGAGTTTAGGCTTTACCGTTTACCCTGAACCGCATACCCTCAACCCCGGGGGCTCGAGAGTCTTTGCTCTTGCAGCTACTGTCGGTTTAGGGTTTCGGGGTTTAGGGTTTAGGGTTTAGGGTTTAGGGTTTAGGGTTTAGGGTTTAGGGTTTAGGGTTTAGGGGACCGGCCTGCCCATGAAACAGGTCCTTGATGCTTGTGAACGGGCTGATGAGGATGACTCCAGCGATGTCGTGCCTGCAAACAAGGATACTTCTCAAGTCTCAAAGCACATGCTGCGCCAAGAGATGGGAGTGTCAGAAAACAGGTAGCGGTAGAACTTTGAGCAATGTGGGATCCTTGGGGAAAAGAATGGCCCCTAAACAAGGTACCCCCTCTTTGCTGAAACTGCCAGATGGATGGAGAGCAGAGAGGCTGCTCTTTCGGAGATCCAAAGGCTGCCGCGATTCGATCAAACTTGCAGTGACCTCGTATACCCTGAACCCTAAACCCATGGTCAACCTACCCGTTCCCCTGGGCTTCTGATCCTGATGATGACGACCCTAAGCCTAAACCCTAAACCCTAAACCTTAAACCCCAGCAAACCTTAAACACCGCAAAGGTCAACCCCAAACTTCCAAACACCTAAACCCCAAACAGCCTCAAAGGGCTCTCGACCCTGAACTTCTACTAGGGGGCTTAGTAATTAGAACAGGGTTTCAAGTTACATCACACTTTTTCTTAGAACAAGGAAGCCTCACCTCAAGAAAAGTCTTGGCTTTGTTGTACTGTTAGACTACAGATTTACAGGCATATGAAACTATTCGAGTAAAACTGGTATGTACGAAGAACCCTCTTTACCCTAACCCTTACACCCTAAACCCTGAACCTCTAAACCCCTAAACCCTGAGTGACAAGCGCGTGCATGAGGCCTCGCCGCCAAGGCCATCGTGGGCCCCGTTCCCAAGCTCCGGCCAAAGAGCTTGATGCCTTGGGCTCTTTAAGGTAGCTCAGTGGTAGGGTTTAGGGTTTTGGGTGATGCTTTCGGAGTTGTGGACTTTAGCGTTTAGGCTTTAGCGCTTAAGGATCTGGGTGATGCCTTGGTCGCTTTGCGGCATGCGGCTCCAGGGCTTAAGGCTTCAAGCTTGTAAGAATGCGGTTTAGGCGACATTCGAGCTTCAGGAGAAAGGCAGGTCACCGGAATCCGTCACTAAAAGACTGGACGCACCAAGAGAGTCAGCAATCAGGGGTCGCGACTAACAAATGGGAAACAGTAACCAGCGCAAATCGAACTTCGATTCTGAAGTTCAAGAGAGCCTCTGTTTCGACACCCGCCTCACACTGTTTGGTATGATGACGCCCGGTCTTTTCGAACTTCCGGAGCTGTACACTGCCTCAAGGTGCTACCCTGCCGGCATCCTCTGGAGACAAGAGCAATGTGTGACCATGTGTGAGACTCACATATATATATATATATGTATATGTATATGTATATATGTAAAAATGTATATACGTATATATGTAAATATGTACATATGTATATATGTATATATGTATGTATGTGTATATGTATATATGTATATATGTATATATGCATATATGCATATATGTATATATGTGTTTATGTATATATGTATGTATATATATATATATGTAACAATGCATACTATGAAACCTACCATAACATAATACTATATAATATACCATAACATTACATGATTTTATGGAAAGTAACGAAAAAGATAGCGTAGCAGGATATTATACAGTAGAAAGGATAACATGCAATAAGCCTGCCTTCTGCCATAACCGCTCGGACTATGGAGACTCAAATGCCGGCGAAAAGGTCGGAGAGATCTTCTCCTGCTGCCTCCTCCTCGACAGGACGAACACTCCACAGTTTAGCAAAAGGCATCATGGCTGTTATAGCTAGAAGGGAAGTCGTCTTCCTCATGGATACTCATGGTGGTCGTGGTGGTGGCGATGTTGGTAGTCGCCGTCGCAGTTACTCGGAATTGCAGTCGCAATCGTCGTTGTGATCGTCGTTCGTCGTCGTCGTTCGTCGTCGTCGTCCCTCATCCAAATCCGCGTCCTCGTCCTCGCCCCCGAGCTCCCCACCGTGGAACGACAGGGAACCGGGTATTGGAACCATCCGTCCGGAGATTCAATGGCTCTCTGCGTCGTCCTCGTCGTGGCAGCACGTGACGACACCTCTTTTTTCCTTCATGGCTTTACGGTTTCAAGCGGTAGCTTCGCCGCTTCTCACCACGGTCGGTCTCTAAGCAGGGGATTACTAGGCAGACAGCTTGGCCAGTTGGTCAAACCGAGGGCCCTGCGTCAAAGAACTCAAGGGACACAATTGAATATATTCGATACTTTCCCAGGAAAAGACAGTAAGGCCTGGCGCTGCCCGATTGAAACGACATCAACACATCTTACGACCGTGCCATGCCTAGTCTACAGTCTAGTCGGCCAGTAAGCATCGAACACCCTGACGCTCAGCCGGGCGGGCACAAGCGGCCGCCAACTTGTTTCGAAGTTAGCACTGCAGGCCAACGAAAGCGAGAACAAAGGCAAAAACTGAAGCCTTCCTAAGCAAAGCATAGCTTATGTCAGTAAAGTCTTCCGTGACTGGACTTGTGACCGTCGTTGTCATGGACACTGTCATGGTACCTGTCATTGTCACGGTATCCGTGGCAGAGGCGGTGGTACTCGCGGTCACCGTGGTCGCGGTGTTGGTCACCACAGTCACGGTGGTCATGGTGTTCGTAATCACCGTGGTCGTCATGGTGTTCGTAGTCACCGTGGTGGTCGTGGTCGTGTCAATGCTGAACATCAAGAAGGAGTCGGAACCGAATCCTGTGACATAAGCATAAGCGCCAGCGATCGCAATGCCACGGGAATCGCGCAACGAAGGGTGCTGCCAATTGCCTGCGATGGTGAGGTTGCTTGGGTCGCTGATGTCGATCATTGTCACGGAGTCATGATCCTCTGACGTCACGAACGCATAATCCCCATCAACGGCAACCGCCCAGGACTCCTCAAGGAGGACTGCATCATCGACAAAGCCTCTGGGTCGGGATTGGCCTTTACGCTACCGTCGAACACGGCCAGATAATTAGCCCACATCCTAGTAGCATAGGCGTAGTTCCCATCGAGCACAACCTGCTCTAGTGCGAATACCCTCCCGAGACTATCAGCCGCTGAACTCACGATGGTCATGTTGCTCGGATCGGCGATACTGATAGACACCAAATAGGTGTCTGCAGCCACATAAGCGTAGTCCCCTCGAACCTTAATGCTTTCGGCCTCCCTCAATAACGTGGAGTCATGGATGGAGCCTACCAGTGTCGGGCTAGTGGGCTCCGCGATGTTCAGCACCGACACCCCACGATCATACTGCGCTACGACGTAGGCGTAATCACCCACGACCTCAATATCAACGGCGCCATCAAGCTGAACGGTGTCTTGGAGGACGGCTACGACGTCCACCATGTGGCTTCTCGCCGATGCTTCACCCCAAATCATGGCTTGCACCAGAAGACCCAGGCCCAAGATGGTCACATGAGCCATGGCGTCAGAACAGGTGCGAAGTCAGCTGAGCTGGCTATTTTTGCTTGGGATGCAGCAGCTAGCAGTGAACCGACATGAGAACTGCCACGTCACATGCAAATGCACTGGAGGGGTAGTTCATCATCACCATCACCACCCTCATCATCCTAGTCATCAGCATCATCATCGTCACGGGCATCAGTACAATAGGAGAAGCAGGTCTTGCTGGCAGTGCACAAAACTTGCAGACAGCCGGCTTACCAGCTTCCATTTTGCAGAGCCTTCGCCACTGGTTGCGTCATGTTGTCTCATTTATGATGGGCAAGAGTTCTGTCACAACGTGCCGCAAATGCGAATGGAACTCTGCAGCACTGGACCAACTGCTTCAAAAGAAAACATGTCTAAGAGTCTAGAAGAGCGCTGGTCGTGGAAGCTTCTCACTTTCGAGGGACACTTTCTGTCGACACTTCCCGTCTGCTTGTTTTCAGGAGCCCTGCTGAGCGGTTTCGTGGCTGGCAGTTCATGAAACGCTGCAGTGAGGTTCCAGTTGGACCAGTTTGTTTTCATCACTCTGGGTTTGCGGGAGAAGGCTCCTGAGGACACACTTCCTATCTGTTTCATCTCCCTAGCCTGAGCGTACGATTATTTTGGTGGAACCTCTGTGTTGTGGTCCCAGTGGATACCAGCCGCAATCCAACAACGACAAGGACTCTTCGTCGGAAATATAAAATATCTATGCATGCGTGGATACAGTGGACACATCTACCAAGGACAGGTGCACATGCAGCGCAATATATCGCACAGCATGCTATTTGATACCTTGTAATTTTGTTGTGGGTTAACATCACACAGCAGGACCAGCAGGACATGCGACAATCTTACCAGCGGTTGTGCCGTCCTCGGTCTGCGCGGTGCCTGCCAGCTGTGCTTGGGCCTTGGCAGCCACCTCAGCCACATCGCAAGAATCCTAAACCCTCCATCCTAAACCCTACACCACACCCTAAATCCTAGATCCTAAACCCTAAATCCTCAGCCCTGACTCTCAATTGTTACACCCTAAATCCTAAACTCTAAATCCCACAACCCTAAACTTTAAACCAACCTTAAACCCTAAATCCTAAACTCTAAATCCCACCTCAGCCAAGTCCACCACGGGAGTCTGGGCAGCTGTGGGCGTCCCGGGCGGAGAGATGCAGATCCAGTGGCCTCGCCGCTGTTAGTGGATTCAGTAGGAGTTTCTGTAGAGACTGCTCAAGGTCTCCTCATACGATTGCTTTAAGAAACTTGGGGTTCAGGGTTTGGGGCTTAGGATTTTTATGCTGGGATGGTAGGTCTCCGGATGGTAAGTTGGCTCCCCGCTGCTTTGGGCTTCCCTGGCCTTGGTCCCCGGCTGGGTTCAGCGGGACGTCTGCATCGACATTCAGAAACTTCGCCACTGCTTCGATGAGGTAAGGGTTCCCACAAGCCAGCGCTGTGATGCCTCGCAGATGCTCTACGGCCTCCTCCAGTTTCCAGCCAGCCTCACTGCACATCCAGACCAACACCGCCGCTGCGCTCCGGTTTTTGCCCATCTGACAGCTCACGTTTACGCTGGCACCAGCATCACGGATCCTTCGTAAGATTTCTAAAGCTTGCCCCAGCTGTTCTGCCCATTCGTCCACGCTCCCCTCGTTCACCTCACGCTCGTTGCTGAAGGCATCTCGCATGGGGACATGCAGGGTTTCTATGCCCTCGATATCGGCCGGAAACTTGTTGACCACTTCAGCTGCCATATTCAGCCTGTGTGTGATGCCACGCTCGAGCAGCTCGAAGGGTCGGCAGGCAGTCTGAAAGTCACTCCACCAGAGGCCGAGGCTACCAGCTTTGTTTCCATCTCCGGGAAGCACACATCTTGAGCCGACCGGCGCCCCATCCCCGGAGGCGGCACCGCGCAGGTTGCCCTGTGCCTTGGGTGGCAGGATGCCCAGCACCTCGTCGGCTGCCCGTAAGACTGCAGCGGTGTAGACGTATCCGTTGGCAGCGTCCTCCCGAATCTCCGGGCAGCCGGATGCGGTAAGGGCTTGCCGGAGCTTCGCGCGTGCGCTCGGTGCGTCTGCTTTGGCCTCCTCCCGTTCACTCAGGCTCAAGTCGTGTAGCCAAGCCCGTGCCACTTCGGAAGGCGGGGCCTTGCTCCGGAAGCAGCTTAGCCAGCTCGGCTCACGAAGCGGAGCACTCATGAATGTCGCAGATGAGCCCGTAAGTCTGGCTGGCCGAACCCTACCCGTCACCTCAACATCAAGGTCGACTCGGATCCCGCAACAACGAGAGCAATGAACATTGATAAAGAGAGTAGCAGCATAAACTACAAGAGCAGTAGTGACGGCAACAAAGTGCTTTGCTTCTGAGACAATGCCTCAGCAACAACCATCACCATGCTCACACCAACAATAACAACAAGAAGCCAATGGCAACGGCAATCTTGAGAGCACTCCCGATGCTAATCCTACATGTCTGGTCAGGTGTACATGAGCTACTCGACCCTCTGCGACCCGATGAGGAAGCTGACTCTCAGATCTATAGACTCTCCTCCGCTCATTGAGAAATCAAGCCTAAACTGTAGTTGGGATCCTTCACATGGGTCATGAACCATATCTGTAGCCGGAAAGACCTAGCTTTTGAGGGTACCTTGCTATGGTTTCGGAAAGTATTTTGGGCCACAGGTGAAGCCTAAAGAGGCATGGGAAGGCCAGACTCAGAAGCTGACAGGATAAACAGCTGAGCTTTCAGCCGTCCCTGGGCCATTTCAGATGGTGAATGGCAAACCTGGTGGATTGCACCCTAAACCCTAAACCCCTAAACCCGAGGCTTCAGTTGAGGGCTTACGGGCTTCAGGCCCGAGGGTTTGAGGGGTTGAGTTCTTAGCTTTCGGTTTAGGAAAGGTAGGGTACTGCCCCCAAACAGTAACAGTCTATAATGGGGCTACTAGGTTTAGGAAAGGTCTTGATTACGATAGTTTAGGGTTTAGGATTTAGGGTTCTTCGAGTTCCTGGGTTCACAGGAAAAAGACGACAACCAGGACATGCTTAGGCGCTGTAAGCACAGGGGTTTCACAGCTTAGACCCAATGCAGATGAAGGCAAAGGCCAAACAAACGGAGCCGTGACTCGCTATCTTTGCATGGGATACTGCTCGGTCACTATCGCTCCAGTTCTACATCGCTACGATCTTCTGTCAATATCATTTCTACTGCCTTCTTACAATGGTTGCAGAATACTATACAAACTACACTGATACGAATTGCTCTGAGATAGACAGTAACAGGACCAATCACGGTAGTGATGATACTGATGAACCAAAAAAGAACTCGAATACCGCTCTGTCTTGCGACAAGGTGCTCCATGGCGGCAGATGCGTTTGCCATCACGCCAGCCTGCCACCGGTCATCAGCGACATGTCGAACAGCCAAAGGCAGAGGACTGCTGTGGGTTTTGGGCTACTTTGAGTGACTAACAGGGGTCACTACGAAGGTTACTATAAGGGGTACGCTGGGCTTAACCTAAGCCTTAAACAATTGCATATAGTGTTTGTCGACAGGCCTCGTCGCACGTACCAGGGCAGATGCCATATCCAGGATACCTGGCACGAAGGACTTCGGATCAGATCCGGCATGTGCCCTGAAACCCTCCATCCCAAACAGGCAAGTTTCGCTCGACGGCGAGAACGTGAACTTGGAAGAGATCTCTCAAGATCGTGCAGAAGGTGTGACTGAGTCCAAGATCCTGAAGGGTGCTAGTAACTGCCAGAAGGAAGCAAGTAGTATTCGTCGCCCAAAGCAAACCCTAACTCCTAAGCCAGAAAACCCTAAATGCGAAATCCTAAACCCTAAATCCCAAATCCTAAACCCTTAATCCCACCCCTCAAACCCTAAACTCTAATTCCTAAGCTCTAGACTCCAATGCCTAAGACCTAAACTCTAATTCCTAAGCCCTTAACCAGCTTAAGTGAGTCGAGGGATGTCCTCCGCATTAGCATGGAAGTAGATGAAGAGGAACCTGCGCAGAGTTTCGGGTTTAGGGTATAGGCTTTTAGGGTTTCGGGTTTAGGGTTTAGGGTATAGGCTTTTAGGGTTTCGGGTTTAGGGTTTAGGGTATAGGCTTTTAGGGATGAGTGTATAGAGGTTTTGGGTTTGGGGTTCAGGGCGCCTGGAAGCCGCCGGGCAGCTGAAGCAACTTGGGGCACCGACAAGACCCCATGAATCCTGAATCCTGCAACTTCGTGGCCACGGTTTAGGGTTTAGGGTTTAGGGTTTAGGGTTTAGGGTTTAGGGTTTAGGGCTTAGGGACTAAACTATACTAGAACCTAGTTGTCCCGTATCCTAGGGGATCGAACGGTTAACCTTTTCAGGTTATATAGGGATTAGAATACCCCAAGAAGGCGTTTCAGAACCGTGACGTATCGAAAACCACTCGGAAGCCCTTCAGCCTAAACCCTAAACCCTAAACCTTAAACCCTAGACAAAAAAACATCGAAGCCCTCAACAGCCCTGTATTTCATGAACCCCCGAAGCTCCTAAGCCCTTGCAGCCCAGACTCCTCCAAAGCCTCATTGCGCCCTCAAAGGCCTAACACCCCGAGTTAAAGGAAACTACAGGTGGGCAGTTTAGGGTCTTTAGGGTTTAGGGTTTAGGGTTTAGGATTCGGTTTATAGGGTTTGGTTAATGGAGACTACAGACCCTAAAAACAGCTTGGGATCAATGCCCTAGCCAACGGCACTCCAAAGAGGAAGGTCTTGATTAAAGGAAACTACAGGTGGGGAGTTTAGGGTCTATAGCACTTCTATAAAGCTCCTATCAAGTATATAGACCTTCTATAAGGCTCCTATAACGGTAGCTACCCACCTGAAAACGTCCTAGACCTCGACCCTCCGATCCAATTCCCTACACCCTAACCTGAATTGAACCCAAAGACTCCAAAACCCTTTAATTAAGGAATATGCCTTAAATTATAATGGGAACCCTAATAAGATTTAAGTTATATTCCTCAATTAAGGGGTATTGGAGTCTCTGAGAACCCTTCTCTGAGTGCGCTGCCGCGCATGCTGAAACGGCAGAAACAAGCAAGGCACCTGCCAGCTGACTAGTCAGGGTTCTAGATGGCTTCTACTTCTACAACATTCCCACAAGACTGGAGCTAGTACAAGGCTTCTGTACGGGTAACCCCTAAACCATAAACCCTAAACCCCTAAACCCTAGAAGCTAAACCAGTACCGGTTGCGTGAGGTCTGGGGGTCAGCGTTTGGAGTGTAGGCTTGTTGTAGTGCTTCCGCTTTTCGGTTACAGGGTAAGTTGTTAGCCTTCTCCCGAAACTTGTGAAACGGTAGATGGATACCCCGTCGCGTCAAAATACCGATACCTATGGCGAAGAAGATAAGGAAGTTGATGAAGGTCTTGATGATGATCATAACGATGAACAGAAGGAGCGAAGAAGGATCAGGAAACAAAGGAAAAACACTACGGATGAGGATGCCAGTGAGGAAACAGATGAGTGAAAATCGAGGAGGAGCAGGAGGAGGAGGCGGAGGAGGAGGAGGAGGCGGAGGGAGCAGGAGGAGCAGGAGGAGGACCATCATGCACACCAGCCACAACACCACAACCATTGGTATCACCATCACAACTACCGCTATCACCTGTAGCAACACACCATCATTGCTGCTTCTTCTTCATCTTCATGGCCATGTTCTTATTGCCGTAGGCTTCTTCTGCACCGTGACGATACTGATGCAGATTATGTTAACGATGATAACCGCTGTGATGGTGGCGATAGTGATCACGCATCCTGATGGTGATGATGGGGATGATGTTCGTGATACTGATAACGATGGTGATGCTGCTGCTCGGGAGGAATCTGGCAATTCTGGTGACGGTTCTGTCGATGCTCCTACTGGCAAGGCTACGACTATCAGAATTCGGAGGCGCTACTATAGGTACAGACATAGATGAGGTCCAGCTGATCAGAGCCTTTGCACCATCTTCGCGTGGAATGAGAATCAATTCGCCAGGGAAGCTGTTGACTGTGTACCTGGCAGCCACAAGCATGCCTCGAAATGCTCAACCCACTTATCAAGTCTCGCAACCCTGAACTCTGCATGCCGAGACAACGCCGCAAACCTGATCTCTTAACCAGATTAGGGTTAAGATTGAAGCTGGAAGAGCCCATCCACCATGTCGTGCGCAAGTCACGAGGGAGTCGGCGCTGGAAAGATCACCCGCTCGATGAGGTTCCAGCTCGTGCTTCTGGAGTTCAAGACGACCCACATCCTGACAAGTGTAAGATGCTATCGGATAGGCTTAGGGTTTCGGGCTCAAATTGCAATGCTCACACAATAGTGGTCATCGAGCCGCCGTAGTACAAACTGCAAGAACGGCGTACTTTATGTAAACCCTAAACTCAAACCACAATGCGGGGCCTTTTGGGGCATCTGGGTTCAAGAGGCTTGGACGATCTGTCCCTCCTGCTTTTTGGTGCTGGGTTTTGGGCCTAGGGTTCATGGTTGAGGGAGGAACTCCTGCGACTTCCGCTCCAGCCTTCGCAGGTTAGGGTTTAGGGTTTAGGGTCTAGGGTTTAGGGTTTTGGATACTTTAGGGTTTAGGATACAAAGAAGTTGCAATGCATTGTAAAACAACGTCTCGCGGCTGCTGATGCATAGAATACATGCTGGGCATTATGGACCATATGAGATCGCACGTCATAGACAGAGTACAACACATTACTATACAATACCAAACAGTTAGCGCTCCAATATGCAGACCAGGCTGTATAGAATATGCTCACTTGACAGAGCACGGACTACGTAATCTCGGACAGGTTATTTACAGTGTTGCCTCGTATACGGCAAATTGAGCAGCATGTCCTATACACATGTATGGCGAATTGTCCGCACATGTAAAACAGTGTACACCGTGCATTCTGCGGCATAGTGCTTAACAGTAACCTATGAAAGCCGATGGTCCGATTCCAAGCACACAGGGTCCTCGTTCAATGTATTCAACATGACCCAATGCTGCAGCCGGTCAACCACGATGTCGCCATGGCTTGCATAGCTTGCAGATCTGAGAAATCTTGTAGCGAGGTCTTGTGCAGAACTCCTGGGCGTTGGATTCTAGGCTGCAGCGAAATCGTGCAGTAGATTTGGGCTGCTTGCAGAGATATGCTTACTTCGACAAAGTCTCACAGACTGCGAGCACATGGCCGACGTCAATCACAATGAACCCTGGCAGGCAGTTCATCAAATGCTCGAGTCTTCAGGTTTGTTTGCGCCCTACTCAAGACACAACAGCCCATCCTTTTCCAAAAGCTCTTGCATCGTGCGTTCTGGCGCTTCTGCCCATCCGCACAGGTGTGCCAGAAACCCTAGGGCTCGATGCCAATGTTCATGACCTGCCGAAGCCCAGGCACGCAGAAATCTTGATCCTTCAACAACCGGTTTCGATCATTCGGTGGCATTTCCGAAAGTTACCGCTTGCTCTTGATTGAGGTCTTGGCTCCTAGTGCCCTGTGGGAGTTCAAGACCAGCACACCAAAGCCTCCTGCGACAGCTCGTGGCCGTTCACCGGCCGTCTGAGCACCTGAAGGCAAGAAAGAAGATCAGTCTGAGAAGCTGCGTCAGCATCTGCAAGTGTCTGTGTCTCCGGGAGTGTGATGGTAGCGGTCATGTGATGATGATGATGGTGATGATGATGATGGTTATGGTGATGATGATGATAATGATGATGATGATGATGATGACGATGATGATGATGATGGTTATGGCGATGGCGAGATTGATGAATGTCGCGCTCGTGGGAGCCGCGACAACGGCGACAAACGTCATCACCAAGCTCACCGCCATCATTAGCATCACCATCAGCACCACCCTTATGGTGGTAGTGCTTGAAGTCGGGGTATTCCTGGCATTGCATCACCATCTTCATCGAAACCATGACCATCACAATAATCATCAGCATTAGCACCACTGCCATCAACGCCAACATCATCCTCAACAACATCATCCAGACCATGGACAGGGTTCCCTTCATCAACATCGTCATGTTCTATCCGCTGAATTGATTTGGGACGTGTGCTGATTAGTTTGATTTAAGGTGGAGGGTTTAGGCTTTAGGAGTTTGGGGGTTTAGGTCCTGAACCTCTTGCGAGGGTCCAGAACCACAGGATTGTGATTATCAAGGTTTTTGATCTTAGGCCTAAAACCTCATTTTGGCACGTACTCGGCGAACTTTGTCCTTACTGGTTGGTTTGTGATCTTATTTGCTTTTATTTGTTATTTGCTATCATTTGCTTTCTAGTTGACCATTTTTGTTTTCTTCGTGCTTGCTTCAAATTCCGGTGCTAACTTCCTGCTATTCTACAACATCGCCGAGGTCAGGGTGATCAAGCGATTCATTGAATAAAGTCATTATCCAATGTCATGTAGCATGACAGTCATCATCCAACGTAATGTAACCTGTACATATAATTAGTGGGGTGATGCTACTCGTCAGTTTCAGTATTTGTTTGTGTTTGGCATTATTTGTTTTTGATTTGTAATTATCTGTCTTTTTATGATGTTGTGTGGTGTTAATTGTTGGTGTTTGTTTGGTGATTGTTTTGTGCAAGTCTGTTGTTGTGTATTTTGGTGGCGTTTGGTCAGGGTCTTCTGCTCAAAACTCCTTCCCAAAAAACGAATCACAACGTCGCCCCTACGGTTATCAGTCTCTCATAGTTGCAGACCTCGGGATAACAAGAATGCTTCGCACATCTTGGATAATACAAAAACCTAGCTTGGGTCGATGAACAACACCGTGTGCCAGATCTTCATCACGTACATCATCGCGGTTCTTCTTTTATCTCTGATATCTGTAATACATTGAAAACATTTCAACAACTTTGAAAGTGCTAAAAAAAATCTGAACTCTTTCGAAAACTTTCAACATATTTCCAGGTTCTTAGAATACTCCAAAAGGCATGTAAAAACTTTGTTGCATGAAAGCAAAGATCAAAAAACTCGATTTGCTTGCATGTGTCTTTACTTGTCTGGATTTGTCTCTATCTGTCCAGAGTTGTCTATGATTGTCCTTTTGGGCGCTTTCTTGACGTTTATTGTCACTATACGTCTTTATTTGTCAATTCTTGCCATGACTGTCGAGCAAGCCCTGGGTTTCTAAGTCCTGTGGTTCCGGACCGTCGCAAAAGGTCAATGATTAGGGTTTAGGGCTTAAGGTTTAGGGTTCAGGGCAGTAGCTGTAGCAGCAGTAGTAGTAGTAGTAGTAGCAGAAGTAGTAGCAGTATTAGTAGTAGCCGAAGTATTCGTAGTAGCAGTAGTAGTCGTCGTCGTCGTAGTAGTCGTAGCAGTCGTAGTAGTCGTCGCAGCAGTAGCAGCAGCAGTAGTAGTTGTGGCATCAGATCAGCTGAAGGACGCGGGACCCAAAAAAAGACTACTCTATATTCTATCTCCACGGCAGCTGTTTCACTGCTGGTGTTAGTAATTGCGATGCTCAACATGATGAGCCTTGGAACTGAAATCAAAGGCTTTACCGTCCCCAATGCTGCGTGCATCATTGCTACCTGCTCTCATGAGCGTCAGTGTTACTACTGTCGGTGCCGCTAGGACTGCGACTAGTGTCTATTAACCCTGCTGCATTATTGCCAAAAACAGCGCCTATAACCATGAGCATTGTCTTTGCTGCTGTGCGTGTGTTGTCGATGTCATTGCTACTGTCTATGTTCAGTTCCGGCTTGGTTACTTAAACCCTAAACCCTAAACCTTTAAAATACACCCTAAACCCTAAACCCTAGTTGAAACTGACATTGCTATTGCTGGTGCTGCTGCGCGGGCGTCATTGCTTATCTGGCCATGAGTCGTGATGGTCAGTCTTGTCACTGCGGGCTTGTATTTCTACCGCTGTCATGTAGTACGTGCCGGCATTAACGCTCGTTTTCGTCCTTGTGCTCTGCTTGTTCATGTCGCTTGTGTTCCGCTTTGGAACTCTGCGTCGTCATGATTTCTAAGGCTTTAGGCTTTAGCTGAAGAGCCTTGGGATAGGCGAGACAGCGCAACCAAGGAAGGAAGCTTCTGCAAGCTGCGGCCGCTGCATAACAGTCGGGCGGATCGATGTTCTGGTAGTAGTCCTGCAGTTGAAACTTCGAGTGGACAAATCAGAAAGAAAAAGAGCAGATCCGTCCACAACCACGATATGCATGCAGCATCCAAGTTTGCATAGGACACGTCTACAATGCTTGTGTGCCCTAAACCCTAAACCCTAAACCCTAAACCACTTTCAACCTGCAAGTCTGTTCCAAGTTCTCTCCGTGACTTGATGATGCCTTCTGCGGGCACCCGTCCTTGATCTCCTCAGTCACCTCCACTGTGCTCTCTACAGCAAGAGCAGTCCAAGGCATCGGCCCCAGCCTTGAAGTCAAACTTGTGGTAGAAGTTCAGCCTACCGTCCACGCCGCAGGGAGCCCTAGATCCTAAACCCTAAACCCTTGAAGGCAAGCGTGACTGGGCCACGCGGTTTTGTTGGAGGTCTGGACGTGGAGATAAACCTCCCGAACCTCATCTGAAACGAAGCAGGCAAAGGCTGTAGACACTCGATGTTGTAGACATAGATATACATACAAACAAAGTGATATACTCATGTACGCGTGTTTATGCCTGCATATCTACATATAGGTGTATGTATGTGTAAATAAATAAATAAATATATATATATATATACAATGCATCTACGCATGTAGCTTATGTGTCTCTCTATCTCTCTGCCTTTCTATATCTATATATATATATATATATAAACTCATGCATATGTGTATATATATATATATATATGTGTGCGTGACTATGTATCTGTGAGCGCACTAGAGTTGCGTATATGTATATGTGTCATATTGCATGTATGTAGGTATGTATGTATGTATGTATGTATATGTATATGCTTATGCATATATGCATATATGCGTATATGCGTATATGCACGTATGCATGTATGCATGTATACATGGATGCATATATGCATATATGCATATATGCATATATGCATATATGCATATGTGTATATATGTATATATGTATATATGTGTATATGTAAATATGTATATATGTAAATATGTATATATGTATATATGTAATTATGTATGTATGCATGTACGCATGTATGTCTGCCTGTCTGTCTGTCTGTCTGTCTGTCTGTATGTATGTATGTATGTATGTATGTATGTATGATGTATGATGTATGTATGCATGCATGCATGTATGGATGTATGTATATGTGTACGTTTATATATATATATATTGAGCTGTGTATCTACATTTGCACATCTTATGATATTACTTACAGATATGCGTACTAATACCTATATATATATATATGTATACTAGTTGATTTATCTGAGTACTTATTTTGTATACTATTACTGTTACAACTAGTTCTAAGTGAACGAGGGCAATCGAAAGAATAATGAGGCTCGAACATCGTCCTTGACGGATTCCTCCTTCTGGGCCTGAGGGCAGCAAACCCTAAACCCTAAACCCCTAAACCCTAGACCCTTAACCCTAAACCCTAAACCCATCCTTCTGGGCCTGAGGGCAGAGAGCGACTCGAAACGAACGGCATACTTTCGGGTTCAGCTTTCAGGGTTGACGGATTACCTGGATCCTAAAGAAACTACCATTCGAGGGTTCCATATTATGATGTCCTTATACAAGTCCTCAAAGGGGTAAGTTCTTCAGTGTCTCGGTAGGGATAGGTGGACAGGTTTTAGGATTAGGCTTTAGTGGTTTAGGGTATAGGGTAGATCCTAGAATCAATAACACCTCCTGACCACTCGTAAGAAACAACCTGACTTGTTTCACTCCCGCACATAAAACTATGGCAACTATGGCTGTGGCCGTAACTACTGACTATCGCTGCTGCTGCTGCTACTGCTGCTTCCTCGTGCTGCTGCTCCTGCGACTACTACTACCACGATTGCCGATGCGCCTGATACTTTGGAATTTTTCAAGCAGTGTGAAAATTGTGCTAGTGATACGACCACCACCAAAACCGCCAGGACGACTACTACTACCGCTGCTACTTCTACAGGTACCACTACCGCGACGACAACCTGCGACGCTAACTATAACGACGACAATAACTTGCTCTGGCTTTGTGCTACGGGTATGAAGATGGCTTTTCTTGACCTTGGTGTATTGGTGCTCGTGTGTCCTGGTTATTGATAGAACTAGCATGAAGGCTGCTCCTGGTAAACCGGTATTGAGTAAAAAGACATGACAAGGAAGCATTTCCTGCAGGCTACATGCTGTTGATACAGACCTGCCCAAAATCTTCCATCTGCACTGCTGCAAGCACTCCAAATATCCCTGGGATGTAACCCTAAACCCTAAACCCTAAACCCTGGGATGTTCTTCCCTGGGATCTTCTTCGCCTTGTCCACAATCCACTGAACTAGCTGAGACCTCGGTTGGGTAGCCCATCGGCTCACGCACCCAGAGCCCTGCAGTCATACTGAGTCAAAGACGCCAGAGATCGGCCTCTATACCTCGGCCACCACGGGCATTAGGGTTGCTATCATAACATAATCATAGTCGTTACTCTCGTAGAGCCGTAGAAAACTATGCTACACCATTGCAAAATTTCGTCGGGATGGAAAATTCGAAGCGATGTGTTCATTACTGTGTTGGGCTTGGTTCCCCTTTCCAGTTCTTCAGCTCAGCTCCTTCCACCACAGCACACCACTATGTCACCCTGTCCCGGGTACTCTGTACTGCACCTATGCCTTGCCAGCTCCCTTTCCTTAAGCAGCAGCCTATCCTGTCACTGCTGCACATGCATCGCACCAACATCTTCGCCAAAGAATTGAGCATGCCGAAGATTGCCTGGACAAGATACACTACTGGAAGAAAGCTGCTTCCATGCGAGGACTATTCACAAGCTTTGAGTAAAGGGGAAGACGCATCTGCTACACTCCACACTGCCTAAGACTCCTCGGATCCTGTGTACCAATACAGGAGCCTTCTCTATTGACCAAGAATATCTCAACAAGCAAATACTTGCAATACGGTCCGCGGCCAACTTGCGATTCTTTCGTCTGGAGTGAGGCTACTCTCAGCACCTTTGCCCGAGGCACTCCGGCTTGAGTTCCTTTGATGCCACCACAGGACTGAAGACTAATCCACAGGGTTGACAACAAAAAAGAAGAGTCAGCGATGTTACTCACAGTGGAAAAGCTCTCGATGGAAATAACAACAAAGCACTGATCTGGAAAGATGAAGATCCTAATCATCATCAGTATCGGCAGAGTCATGATCATCAGCCTCACGGCCATCATGACACTCACTGGCCACAGGCTTGAACATATGTAATGTCTATGAAAAGCTACATGCTTTCTGCGTGTGCAATTAGAGCCGAAGCCTTCCGCTACCAAATTCAGCGGCAAGTCTCCATGGCACACCCAAAAGGACAAAAGGCCGATGACTTCCAAAAAAATCGCATTACCAGCATCTGAGCTATGCACGGTTTGAGCACTGAAAGCGTCATGATGTAGAGCGCCTGCTTCAATCAGTGATTATATGGGTAGTTCTCTAATATCAGGTCCTTTTCGGGTCCTGTCTATAACGGTGCCGTACTATTTGGGGCACCTAAAAAGGGTCCTACTTTTGAGAACTACCTATAGGTCAGCCGGAAGCTTGGCAACTTTGGCACTGACAAACGAGTTGCGGTTGCTGGATTGAACTGGTTTGAGCTTCTCTGCTGTTCTGAAGATCTCCTGCAAAAAACGACTGGAGCTAACCCAAGAACCATCACAATTGAAGCAGAACTTACCGTCACAAGCAACCAGCCTTGCCCCCTTCTTTTCTTTCTTCCGGCCGGCAGCATATGGATCCTCACTTTAGAGCTTTAGGGAGTTAAGGACTTCGCGTGGCAGGGAGCTGCTTCAACTGAAAACTGGGCAGGCAACCGACAAGAACGTCGGCATAGAACCTCGGCTTCAATTCGCCCGAGCCGGGCTGCGAATGACAGCCAACGTGCAGAGACTTGTCAACAGGTGCTGCGGGCCCTGACCCCAAGCGGCAGTACTCCAAGCGCTTCTTGAGATCCTCGTAGAATTGGTCCTGTGTAAAGTCTCGTGGTAGATTCTTGTAGATACAACAAGTACACGCACGAATCGCTTATTCCGCTCGGGGCCGGAGGGAGTCGAGGGAAGCAATTGCTGTCACTTACTGCTGCTTGAGATAGAGAATATGGTTTCCTTGTGATGGTCTCTTGAATTGAAATCCTGCACAGATGAATGCCACCGAGGCATGGATGCCGCCTTGTAGGTGACCGGGAAGGTGTAGGTATTCAGCTTCTTGAGCTGTCCGATATTCCTTGCAAATCCCAAACGATGCTGCTCATGATGATCCTGCTGACGGCGATGATGCTGCTGATGATGGTGATGATGATGACGATGATGATGATGATGATGGTGATGATGATGATGCTGATGATGCTGACACTGATGCTGCTGGTGATGATGGTGATGATGATGATGATTGTGATGCTGATGGTGAAGGTGATGGTGATGATGATGGTGATGATGATGATGATGATGACGATGATGATGATTGTGATGGTGATGGTGAAGGTGATGGTGATGATGATGGTGATGATAACCATGATGGCGATGATGATTGTGATGCTGGTGGTGATGATGATGGTGATGATGATGGTGATGCTGATGGCGATGGTGATTGTGATGGTGATGCCGACGGTGATGATTGCGCTTGGGGCGGTGATGCTTGTGATGGTGGAGCTTGTTGTTGCTCTTGGTGGTGCTGCTGATACTGGTGCTGATGCTCAGTGGCATACAAGGGTTGTGGTGGTCGGGGGAGGTAGCAGCGGGGGATGGGGGTGGGTGGTGGCGGTGACACTGGTGCTCGCACTGAAACTGCTGCCGAATGTGCTGGCGGCATCTATGGGGATGAAGGAGAGGATGAGGATGAGGACGAGATGATGAGGATAAAGATGATGACGACGATGGCGACGACGACGTTGAGCTGATGATGCTGATGATGGTGATGATCATGATGGTGATGATGATGAAGAAGAAGAAGATGATGATGATCACGATTGCGATAATGATTATCATCATCATGATCATGCACATGAACTTGGCAACGATGGTTGCAAATGGCAAAAGACACTATATGTTTCCATCATGGCTTGCATCAGCCGTCTTACGCCCACCAGCACCATTACCATGGTTCATGAACAGATTGATGTTCAACGCACGCTTGTGTTCTGACTACCACAATGTACTCGTGGTGTGATTCTCACGACCAGGCTCACTGGCTGCACATCATCATCATCATCATCATCATCATGGTCATGCCGTTGCTCTGAGTACTCTAGCTCGAACTGTTCGGAACGGGCGTTGTCATCCTGGCCAACCAGATACCGTGGTTCAGGCAAGACAGAGCATGGTGTGTGCTTCCATCTCACCGAACCACATGAAGTTCCGAAAGAAGGAACGGAATCCCACCTCGCTTCGTCCAAGTGTCTTCTCTGTGAGGTTTCCAAGATCGAGCTTGAGCGGCTTGCGCCTGCTGAGTCAGCGCCCGATTTTCCACAGGGTGATGGCTGTGTGACAGCACCCGACCCACCCAAGAAGATATGAGAAAGCCCATTCGATCGAACGTTGTATCTTTGCGAAGATCCCGCGCACTCTAAAACCCTAAACCCCGGCTTCTCCCTGCTGCTGGAGGCCGCGCTTCCGTTGGCCTGCAGCATGGCAATCAGAAAAGCCGGAAGCTTTGGGAAGATGAGGTGTAGCGCTTAGAGTTTAGGGTGTGGGGTTTAGGCTTTAAGGTTTCGGGTTTGAGGTTTAAGGTTTCCACCAGGCATGGTGTTGCCACTGCACTTAGTACTAGTGTTATCAGTATTATCACCATCCTTGTCAGTAAGCAGTGTAATCATTTTTTTGTAATATCATGATTGTCATGATCACTAAACTTGTGACTGCCCTCGGCATGCAAACTTTGACAATCCCAGTCCAAATAAGAGCCACAGCCCCTCCTCGGTGTCTTTTCGCCAAGGAGGGGCTGTGATTTGGCTCTGATTTAGGCTGTGGTTTGGGGGCCCACCTTCGCCAGAAGCCCCGGGCTCACATCCCGAACCACAGCTCAAGGTTTAGGGGTTTAGGTTTAGGGTTTGGGGTTTAGGGCTCACAGCCAAAATCACAGCAAAATCTCGGCAAAATCACAGCCCGTCCTTGGTGCAGGGGGGCTGTGCTTTGAGTTGGCTGTGATCTGGGCCATGATTCGTGCTTGAAGCGGGGCTGTCATTTTTGGCTGTGGGACAGAGCTGGAAGAAGCACCGCAGCTTCACATTTGGCTGATCTCAGTGGTTGCATGCATTCGCTTATATGACACAAAGAATATGTATACACACTATGATATACAATGAGTCATAATGTGACATGTGATACGAAATATAGCATGACACATATACCTGTATATATATATATATATATACATATACATATACATATACATATACATGTATAAGTAATGTATAACACGAAACCCCTCAGACCCTAAGCCTTCTCACCACTGGGGAGCGGATACGCTTCGGATCGCTGCTTTCCCCGAAGCCGTGTGCGCTCCTTGGCTTAAAACACGCACTCCACTTCTCCATATTTTTTTGTGGGGGGGGGGGGGG